ACTTAATATTAAGAAAAAACAAATATAACAAATGGGGGATTTTAATAATCACATTACTAAATTTTGATCCCTGAAATTCTTGTTAATACCAATGTTCACTTTGTCTGGTTTTGTTGCAGTATGCCCCATATTAATAAAAAGTTTTAAACTAATATTTCATCATCAATAATCGATGTTGGTCTCAACTATTTTGAAGAAACAAAAGTCAAAACCAAGATTAAAATTTATATAGGTTTGATAAGGGCCTCCACATGAACTAAATGCAATTTTGGTGTCTTCGAGTAGAATTATTATACTAATGTTATGGCCTGAATCCGAAATCAGTTATTATCTTGTCTAACTTCTCAACACTCCCTTCTTGATGGGGTTGAGAATTATCACCCTGAAATACCCATAGTCCAGACACTCAAGAAAAGGCAATAGGTTTTCTTTGAGCATCTTTTCATATTCTTAATCTGTATATACTGCCCTCAACTCGTATCTGATGTCTGGAAAAGCAACCCATATCATTATGTAAATCATTATGGAAAACAGTTATTACTTAATGCACAACAAAAGTGACTGTGATAATAAAACTTTAGATCTTTTGATTTTAATTATTCTTCAAAACTTGGTCACATCTATCACAAAGTTCTCCTTCATTATTAGCAGAAAAAATCCAACATCTTGGACACTTGTATAAATCAGCTTTTTTTACCTGAATTTTAAATAATCCCTTTACATCATCAATTTTTTTCAAACCATCAAACTCTTCTTTAGTTACTGGTGGTTGTAAATTGTCAGGCGCTGCTGATGGATTGAATGAATTGAGTATTGTATTTGATGTGATAAATATTGAATTTAATTCTAATTCTTTTTTTTAAAATGAAGAATTTTTTATTTATTTTAAGTATTTATTTTGGAGGTTTTTTTTGAATAATAAGTAATGATGATAATGGTGACAAATAAAATTTTACCAACCATGCTTTTTTAGTAAGTTATGCAAAGGTGATGGTGTCACATCTAATTCAATGGTAGCTTCTAAAGAACTTCTTATCAGCCTTTTATAATCAAAATAACATTATTATTAATATATAACTTTTTTAAATAATAAATTTTTTAAAAAAAAACATACTTATTCTTTCTGGCATTTTCCAATGATTGATTCACTTCTGATCTCAAAACTTTTAAGACATTCCATTCTTCTTGAATCTTTAAATTATTCCAATTCTCATCCTAAAATAACAAAACAAATGATAGTAATGATAGTAGTTACAGGATAACAAATGATGATTATGATGATTTAATAATAAAAATAATTTTTACCAAATTATACCATCCTAATTTAAATACACTTTCATATTCTGTCGAATTACAACTTTTAAAATTTTCATAAACTTCTTCTGCTAAATGTGGAACTATTGGAGCCAATGCAATTGTGTAAACATTTAAAATCTTTGATGGTATTGTAAAAAAAAGTATAAGAAAGTTACTATTATGTAGAGCCGAAATAAAAGCAATTGTTAATAAAAATGTCAAAATATATTTACATGATACAAAACGGTTTGAACACTTGTTCTGCTTAAACTTTTAATATGATCAGCATATAATCTATCTTTTACTATGTCAAAATAAAATGCTGATAATGTAACATTTGTAAAATTATTCAAGAGTTGGGTGACTGGTTGATAATAGATTAATAGATTAATGATATTTTTTGATGATGTTAATTTTAATGCTAATTACAACGATAAATAAACAAATTTTTTATTGCTTACTTTTATTAAATCCAAAGTTTTCATATGAAGTATTAATGCTTTTACCAAATTGATATAATTCATGAAGCATAAATTTATCAATCTATAATTATCATGCATGTATTAAATTAAGATAATTAATAATGTAGAATATATATATATGTATATGTATATGATAATAAATATTACAGGTTTTAAATCATCATAACAAACTAATTGTTTATGACTAAAATTATTCAAATTTCCCAACATAAATCTTGCAGTTCCACGATACTTTCTCATATTTTCTGCTATTTGGCCTTTTTTTTTTTAATTGAATAAAGAAAAATGTTAAAAATAATAATATTTGTTTTTTATTATTTATAATTTTAAAATCTATATAATTAAAAAAGACAAACTTAATATGTTTTTCCCGATATTGACATCTTTCACATATTCAGTTGAAGCAACCCATAATCTTAATATGTCTGCTCCATATGGTGGTTCTTTTGCTAAATTCTAAATTTTTTAAAAAATTTAGATATAGTAAATTTTTTGATTTGGTTAAACCGTTATTGAATAACATTCAATCAAGTTTATATATATCTTGATATAAAACGGAAATAATTACCTTTCCACCTTTTATAATAGTTTTAGGCTCAATAAAATTACCCTTTGATTTTGAAAATTTGTGACCTTTTTCATCCAACACAAATCCATGTGTAATTACTGTTGAATATGGCGCTTTATTATTAACCGCGACTATATAATATATATATGTTAGGCAACTTGAAAAAATAGTTTTATATAATTTTTATTGTTCTGTTTTCAAAATCGATTACCAGATGTTAATAATGAAGATTGAAACCATCCACGGTGTTGATCACTTCCTTCAAGATACAAATCTGAAATAGTAGGCGAATTTATACGACTATATAATAATAATAATAATAATAATAATAATAATACCATTATTTATTTATTTCAAGATTAGAGTTTTTGGGATAAATATAAATACTTTGGAAAATTATCTAATATTGTTGCCCAAGAAACACCACTATCAAACCAAACATCCATTGTATCCATGCCTTTTTTATATTTTACACCTAAAAATAAAGTAATATAAATATGGAAGTTTTGGGTGAGATAGACGAGAAATTAAAAGAACCAAACTTACCATTATTTTGATATTCAGGTGCAAGTAATTCTCTTTCATCCAATATCCACCAACAATCAGAACCTTCACAGGATTCAATTATTTTAATAATATGAGCTATTGAAGAATCAGTTAATAATGGAGTATCTGATTCTACTTCGTATAAAACTGGTATCGGGAGACCCCAATATCTTTGTCTTGATATACACCATTCACTACGAGATAGAATGAATTGTTCAAGACGATTACGTGCTTTTTAAAAAAAATCAAAATTAATTACAGAAAAATATAATAGTATATAATAAAAATCAATAAACACGACTTTTCTTCATACCAGATTCAGGAACCATTTTAACATTTGAAAGTAATTCAACTGCCTTTTGTTTAACTGCTCCAACATCAGCAAACCATTGAGGTGTAGCTCTTAATAAATAATATATATAAGCATATAAATATTATACATTATATATTATAAAAAAAGCTTTGTTGATTATTTACCTTAATATAACTGGCTCTTTAGTTCTCCAATCATAAGGATAATTATGTTTGAATTTTTCTACTGCAATCAAATAATTTTTTTTCTTGAGAAAATTTATAACAGCCGTTGAACCTTCTTTCAATACTGATAATCCTTCAAATGAAGCTTCTCCCACTTCAGATGTAAAATTTCCAAGATTATCAACGGGACAAAATGCTGGTCTATTCAATCTTTTACATATTTCGTAATCTTCCATTCCATGACCAGGTGCAATATGAACCAAACCTTATTAAATTCAAATCAAAAAATATTATTATCATACAACTTTAATTTTTTAAAAAAAATATATATACACACGAATAAAATTGTACCTGTTCCTGAATCCTCAGTTACATGCGATGATTCAATTACCTTGTAAACTTTATGATTTATTGGATGAATGTAGCTTGTTCCAATAAGCTTACAACCTTAAATATTTTAAATTAAATATTTTAATTAATCGATCAATCAATAATCTTTATTGTTACAATTTGATCATCGTCTTTACCTTCAAATGTCTGATAAATCTTAAATTCAGATTCAAATATCTTTTGAAGGTCATTTATTCTTTTTGTTGCAACAATATATAAATTTTGATCAGGCGATAAATTTATATCATTATCTTTTCTGGTACTCACAATAGAATATTCAATTTTTGGATTTATTGCAACTGCCTAAAAATTAATAAAAATATTGATTGATTGATTGACCGAGTATTTTTAGAATACTTGATATTATTGAAAGTTTACTTGATTCGCTGGTAAAGTCCATGGAGTTGTTGTCCATATTATAATAGAAATTTTATTATTCTTTAAACTTGGATTAAAATTTGAATCTGTAATTGTAATTATAAAAATCTATTTAATTGTTGATTTAATTCGTTTAAAATTTATTTTGTTTATTACCTAATTCAGAAGATATTGGAAATTTTACATATACAGAATTACTGATATGATTTTCGTTATATTCCAACTCTGCTTCTGCTAAAGCTGTTCTATGAATTCAATGTAGTTATTAACTTTTTATAATAACCATAAATTTTATTTGATACAAAATATTTAATATCAATTACCTTGAAGATGGTGACCAATAAACCGGTTTATTTTGTCTATAAATATACCCTAACATACATATATATATATATATATATATATGATTATATTATCACTCTCACTATCAACTGTTGTTCATAACATCAATACTATGATATACCTTTTTTCACCATTTCATGAAAAACTTTTAATTGTCTAATTTCATATTCTTTATCTTTTTTTAAAAAAAAATAATAATGATTAGCAAAGAATAAAAAAAATTTGTTTTTAAAAATTGAAATCAACGTAATAAATTTATCACCAAGCGTTTTATATGGATTTTTCCAATCACCAATTATTCCCCAACTTTCAAATTCTCCTTTTTGAACATTCAATGCAATCATTGCAGATTCTTTTGCAGCTTTACGAATTTCCATTGGTTTTAAGGTTGCAAATTTTACATTCTATCATTAAGAAAAAAATCAAATTTATATATATAAAAGAAAATTTGATTAATTACAAGAAAATTAATAAAACAATAATCAACTAATTACTTTGAATGAAGATAAAGCTTTGAATTCAATCGGTAATCCATGACAATCCCACCCTGGAATAAAACTATAAATAGGAAAAATAAATATTTTTATTGTAATTGTTGTAATTTATAATTTGATTTTTTTACATACTTAACTTTATAGCCTTGTAATATTTTATATCTATTAATAATATCTTTTAATATTTTATTTAATGCGTGTCCTAATGATTCATATAAAAAATAAATAAATAATTAAATGTTTTTTAAAAAAATTTTTTCATAATATACAAAAAGTTACCAATATGTAAATTTCCATTAGCATAAGGCGGACCATCATGAAGAATAAATAATTCTTTGGGATTATTTTCCAGCTAATCAGCACAAATTTAAATATTCAGAACAATCTTTGAAATTTACAATTAAAAAAAAAAATGAAATGAAATAAAACCCAACGAAAAAATCCCAAATTCACTAGGGAAATTATCAAATTAACAAATTATTATATTTATTTATTTTATCTACCTGCCACTCATATAAATCAATTGTACATCTATCACGAAATAAGGGCTCTCGTTTTATAGCATTAGCTTTAAGTTGAAAGCTAGTTTGTGGTAATAATAACGTATTACTATAAGTTGAATTAGTTTCTTTAGATGATGTTGATAAAGATTTTAATAGAATTATATAATTATTTCTAGAATTATTTGCATTGAAAAGAGTCTTTTTAAGCATTTTTTTTTTTCGATTTTTATCAAAGATCAACAACGATAAAATTTTTTTCTTTACGTGTAACATTTGGGACATACTAATACGCGTCGTCTGCGTATCAAAAATAGGTTTACGATTCAAAATTCTTTTAATTTCACATATTTAAAAGAGCATAATAACTTTTCATGGAGTGTCGGACGGAGTATTTATTTAATTTAAACTAAATTGAAATTAATAGAGAGATTGATTGGTTGATTGAGATAAAGATCAAATTACATAATTCAAAATTTGTTATAAGTGCACCTCATTACCTCACTACAGTAACTTCGTCACATTAACTTTTTTTTTTTTTTTTAATTTCACACACAACTTTTCATGGAGTATCGGACGGAGTCTTTATTTAATTTAAACTAAACTGAAATTAATAGAGAGATTGATTGATTGATCGATTGATTGATTGATTGATTGATTGATTGATTGAGATAAAGATCAAATTACATCATTCAAAGTTTGTTTTAAGTGCACACGTCATTACCTCGTTACAGTAATTTCGTCACATTAATATTTTTTTTTTTAATTTCACATATTTAAAAAGAGTTTAAATAGCGTGTCGAACGGAATTTGAAATTAATAGAGATTGATTGATTGATTTGATTGATTGAGATAAAGATCAAATTACATCATTCAAAGCTTGTTATAAGTGCACACGTCATATTAATATTATTTTTTTGATTATAACTATCCCCAAAAAAAATAAGGTCAAGAGATTGTTGTTAATAGGTTAAAAATTTTTTATTTTTCCGACAAATCTTTTTTTTTATAACTTGAAGGTAAAAATAATTTCCTTAACTTATATGCAGTATATTTTCATGAAAAGTAACAACAGTTTTTAAATAATATTTATTCATATTGTTTTATCTAGAACTTATTAAATATCTAGTAATCACTTTCTAATATTTTAATAATAAATAAGCCTTTACAAAATGAACAACTTTGATATCTTGGTTTCCGCAGCTCTTAGTTTGCACAATAATGATGATAACAAAGATTTAAGCGCTTCTTATCATCAACAATCAAACCCCGAGCTTATGGTGATCGATCCAAATGAAATAATCAGATCTTCTGAAAGAATAGTTAGCCAACTTGTCAACCAAAACTATTACTTTAACATCGAGACTGACAAATATAACAATTCACAACAAAGTAACACATCATTTCAAGAAAAGAAGGTAATTGAATTGTATAATTTATTTATTATCGCTTGCCTCTTTTTCCTTTATTTATTTTATCCTCGTTAAATGGTTAAAATAGGTCGAGGACGCATTAATAAATGTAAATAATGCCATCAAAACGGCCTTGAATGTATATAATGATTTAATAAGTGCTGTCCCAGAAGGCACTGTGCCAAATATATTACCGCCAAGTAATTTAAGCGACAGACTTGACGAATTTAAAAAAGTATTCAGGCTTGAAAAAAATCATGACAGTAATGATGAACCTGTGGATGAAGAAGATATAGAAACCGAAAAGAGCTTCGAAAGCAAACCACACTCATTGCAACTTTCACAAAAGCGGAAACAGCAGAAACAACTTGAACCAGGAAATAGCCGGTATAATACACGAAGCAAAGATGGCACATTAAAGCCTCGAGCCATATATGATGGAACTGTGATTGAAGATGGCAAGGCTTCTGTAAAACAGCGTAAAAAAGGTAGTGATTTTATATTATTGTTATTATAAATGGGGTTTTTTTATCTATTTTGACTAATGATTAATTTTTTGTCATTCAAAAGAGATCCCGCGTGCTCCAAAAAAATCCTTTTATTATTTCTTTAATGATTATTGTGCAGAGATGAGATCAAATAATGTCAAAACGCACTCGGGCCAATTAATGAAGGGTGCGGGTGAAAAATGGCGAGAATTGCCTGAAAGTGAAAAAAGGGTAATTATTTCTTGAGCCCTTTTTTTGATTTTTCATTGATAGTAATAATAATTATTATCGTACTCGTGATAATTCACTTTTAGATATATCATCTTCGACAAGAGGAGGCTACAACAAAATATCAAGCGGCGAATGAGATAAATAAAGCCGAGAAAAATACCTCGGCACGAAAGAGATCTTTGGAGGAGGTACCAGAGACACAGATAACGACAACAGAATCTTTTCCTGATGCTGCTGTCAATAACAATAGTAGCAGAGCTCACAAGAGACGTTGTATCTCTTGATATAAAATTATTTACCTTTCCCCCAAATCAATTTCCTCTTTTCTTTACTTCTCTTGTCATCATCCTTTAATGAAATCATCACAAAGGATTTTAGTAATTGAAAAGAGTTTTCATTATCATTTAAATTTATTTATACTTAATTGTACATAATATATATAATATTTGCTTAATTAATAAAAATATAATATATCATTGTTATTATATATATATACACACACACACACACACAAGCAATGCCTTAAAAATTACTGAGTGAAGGAGTACACTAAATCAGAGTTTAAATTCCTACAGCTTTCCAAACTGCACATTGCTTCCATTGGTTGGTCAATCATGACTAATAACTATAGGCCAAATTTACTATTTCTCTTAAACAGCAGAGTCTAACAAAGAACATGTAATAGAACAAATAAATAATTGGTAAATTCATGATCCATATTAAAATTTTTTATTTTTAAACAAACACAGTAATTTTATCAGCAATCAACCAACTTACCAGGTATAAGTCTTTGCATGCCTTGAGCTGCCATCTTCTAACTATCCATTAGATTGGATCACACTACACTTGTTCGAAATTCCTGCAGCCACCAACACAACTTCTTCACTGGACCTGATGCATGTCCTTCTTGAGCCACCTGTGATTTTGTCAAAAGGTTATGGGAAGCTGTTTACCAATATGGCTTTTTTCAGCAAAGATTTCACATTGTTTTCTACTGTGAAAATTTTACAAAGAGTATGAAGATGGTTTAAAATATAAGGGATGCAATTTTGATAAACTTGAATTGAAGCAGAGTAGTTGATGGTGTAGGCATGCTAGAATGAATATAGATACAAACATTAGATATGTAATAATATTAAACAAAAAGGATTAATCTCCTGTTTCTTCTCTGCCCTTGCGAATCCAGCCATTGGATACCATTCTTTTTGTATTACATCTTTACAGAGTCCCCCTCTTTTACCCAACAAATAAGCTAATTCTTCCAGAATCAACCTGATCAATTGGCTGAATGTCAAAAGGATGGTGGATACCATCATTATCAAGCCAATACTGCCATCTGCCACTATATAGGTGACTTCTAGCAAAATGTGGTTAAAGAACATAATAATTTTTTTGAATAACAATCCCTGCAAAATTATGTTACATAATTGTGATCCTTATAATATAGATATGTGTTATACAAAAAACTCAATTTGGTCAGAGATGTCCCTAACCACATATTCCTAGAAATCCACCATATATATGCTTCTTCTCAAAAATTCTTCTAATAGCAGAACTGGAAATCGGTGAAATAAAAGAGATCAAGCCTATAACAATATGAAATAGTTGATAGACTCTTTATTGTCTATGCAGTCATCATTGCATTCATTCTTTTTTCTCTTTGGTGATGTGTGCGAAACTCCTAAACTATGGGTGAAGCTCCTAAACTGCAGGCGAAAATCAAACGGATAATTAATTTAATTTCCAGCCACAAAAGTGTTTTATTAAACAAAAAAAAGAAATTATTTGTAAAGAATAATTTCTAATAACCCTTCTGCTTCTACACTCAAGCAAGGCTCTGGGTTATTTGCTGTCTATCTAACCTCGATTTGGTCATTCAGCTGTACTTTGTAATTAATTTTAATTTAATATTTTTCTGGATTGATTAATTAATTCATAAAAAAATTCACTTGGTCAAATCTTTTAAATAAATTGTAATAAATATATAAGAAATAAATTTAATTAAATATAAAAATACGAAATTATTAAAACGAGAGACTAGGTCACATGACCGACATACGATTGGACGGTACTTCGGACAAATCGTTTATTTTAGAAGTTTGACAACTTTAGGGTTTTTAAGTTTCGTCAATAGGAGCCCAAATTCCTGGGCGAAACTATTTAGGGTTTGCTAATAATTCAGACACCATCATTAATATTAATGTGTATAATTATGATGCTCTCACTAAATTTCTTCATAGAAAAATAGATAAATTGCTTGAAAATTTTAAAATTTATCTTCCAGAAAAATCTTGCATTCAGAAGAAATTTCGAATCAAATAGTTAATCAAACTCAAACCTATATTATACAAAACTTCTAATGCATTAAAACGAAAAAGGGGTTATTTTAATAGAGTCTTTGTCTTTTTTCTTTGTGATGTATCTGATCAATTAAATCTGGAACATGTGCAAACAATCTAAACTTTTTGGGAATCACTGAACATCGTTGTAAATGTGCCAAAACCATACGAATTTATTGCAAATATATTGGAATCCCAACATGCTAACTTAGGCCATGTTGTTACATGGCCAAGAGGCGTAATTGAGAAAATTCCATCTAATGTTGATAAAAATTTATGGTTCTATTTTTTTAGTCACATGGTATTTATATCCCTTTCATCATGGCGATGGAATTATCAGTTTTTGCTCCTAGACTGGACTGTTTGCAATTTCACCAAATTCTGCTACACCTGAAAGAATCTGGTCTCTCTTTGGTAATCTTCATAAGGATGACATAACAGATTGAAGCCAGAAAGTTGCAAAAATAGGATGGTGTACAAATCAAACTAATGATAAAATCAAGATTTATAAATTTTTGACCAGCTAATAGTAATGGATGATTGTAAGAATGATATACAGGAAAGCACAGATGAATATCAAATTGTCAATGAATTGTATAATGAATTTCAAAATGATTCTACATTTTTAATTGATGATGTACTGTAGAATATGAAGATGAGGTTCCCAAGTTAATAGAAATTTTTAATTTTGAGTTAGTTGAATAAATCGTTTGTTAGCATTGCATTAGCATTATTTTATATATTAATAATTTATAAATTATCTTTTCACTTGGAATGAACATCTATTTTTATTATGCTGAAAAGTAATTTTATTTTATTTTTAATTTTTTATAATGAAATAATAAGATAACACTAAGAAGTTTAAAGAAAGAAAAGAAGAATATGGAATCTGCTCTGTTTGTGCAAGATATAATACTAATTACCAGTGGTGTCAATCATGTGATCCCAAATTGTTAGCTCAAAGTTGGAC